AAAAAAAAAAAAAAAAAATGTAGCCTTTATCCTGAAATTTATTCCACTGTGCCTTCAATGGCTATACCTTGAATTATTACCATATGTATACTTGAATCATATGTGACAGGTAACAGGTGCTCCATAAATGGGTATTTATTTATTATATAATTCATTTATTCATTCTTGAGACACTTATTAAATGACTACCTAATATTATGCAGTATGCTATCAACATAATAGTAAGCCTATGGAAAAGAATAAAACACTGAAGTCCTTTCCCCAATGGATTTGGATTTTATTTTGGTTTTGGGGGGAGAGTTGTTTCTTTTTGTATTTTAGACAGTGTCTTGCTCTGTTACCCTGGGTAGAGTACAGTGGTGTCAACTTCAAACTCCTAAGCTCAACTGATTCTCCTGGCCCAGCCTCCCAAGTAGCTGGGACTATAGGCACACACCACCATGCCTGGCTAATTTTTCTAATTTAGGTAAAGATAGGGTTTCACACCTGCTCAGGTTGGTCCTGAACTCCTAAGCTCAAGCAGTCCTCCCACCTCAGCCTCCCGGAGTGCTAGGATTACAGGGGTGAGCTATCATGCCCACCCTCCTCAATGGATTTTCCACTTACTGGAAACAATAGAGATGTGAACGGGCAGTTGCCATACAGTCTGACACATGTTGTATCAGAGAATGACTCAAGAGAGTTAGCATTGTTGACAGTGTTTCCTTTACGGGCAGCTGCACGTAAAGGAATTAAGTTTTTCCTTAACTTAATTCACTTAAAGGTGTTTTCCCTCCCATTTGAATTGGCATATTCCCATGCCAACGGCCAGTGCAAATTGTCCTTTGCCACCTATATTCACATATTCTCGCAGAGGCCTCATCAGGACTCTCGTATCCTTCATGAGTTTCCTCCTTTGTCTTCACAGCATCCTCCCTCTGCCTCTCCCTCTCTCATTTGTGGGGCTGCCTCCTGAACTGCTGTGCTTCTTAGAGAGCCAGGCACATTTGTATCTTAACATACGTAACAACTGTGAAAAATAATGCATAAGAGCTTACTCATTTAAGCAAATACAGTAAAATTTAGATATAATATATATATTGTGGTGCCCAGAAATTTCTTCTGCTAAAAACTAGAGTTGCTGTGTCCAGTTTTTCTTAGGAAATGGGGTATGAGAAACTAACCCCATGGTCATCAGATGCATTGAGCAATTTCTAGATAATGTTGACCACAGGTCATCTGATTTATTTCCCTTGGCTTTCTTAGAAGCCTAAGTAACTTCACTGAACAATAACCATGTATGTGAGTTTTGTTTCGCTATTGCTTTGTTCCCTGTTCTTGAATCAGAGTTCTCTGAGTTAAACTTCAGCTTTGTTGATGCTGTGAGGAAGTTGTAGTATGGTTTTGGTGGTAGTAAAAGAAAAAACCATAAAACAAATCACTTTGAAGAGAAAAGCATCATTCATAATATAGCCAATTTTCTTCCCGCTCTCTTTTTCTTCTTCTTTTCTTTTTCTTTCTTTCTTTTTTTGTTTTTTGTTTTTTTTTTGAGACAGAGTCTCACTATGTCACTCTCAGTAGAGTACCATGGAGTCACAGCTCAGAGCAACCTCCAACTCTTGGGCTTAAGCGATTCTCTTGCCTCAGCCTCCCAAGCAGCCAGGACTATAGGCGCCTGCCACAACACCAGGCTATTTTTTTGTTGTTGTTGCAGTTGGTTAGTGGCCCAGGCTGGGTTCGAACCCACCACTCTTATTGTATGTGGCTGGCACCCTAACCATTGGGCATGGGCGCCAAGCCTCTCTTTCCCTCTTTTCTCCTGATTTATCTGTGTTGAGTACTGCAAAGGAAGCACCATTGTAAAACACTGGTATTAATGTATGAAAGTGTTTGTTCCCAACATCAACAAATCATTAACTTTTCCTAATTTCTTCATAGACGATTTAAGCCAGAAATTAAAACCCTTGGGTGATGCAGAACGAGAGTTTATTTTGAATTTGAAGAAAAATGAATGTGAAGAGAGAGGTTTTGAATATGATGGTAAAATCAATGCCTGGGATCTGCATTACTACATGACTCGGACAGAAGAACTCAAGTACTCTGTAGACCAAGAGTTTCTCAAGGAATATTTCCCAATTGAGGTAGTCACTGAAGGCTTGCTGAACACCTACCAAGAATTGTTGGGACTTTCATTTGAGCAAGTGGCAGATGCTCACGTTTGGAATAAAAGTGTTACACTTTACACCGTGAAGGATAAAACGACAGGAGAAGTATTGGGACAGTTCTACTTGGACCTCTACCCAAGGTACTGAGGATCACACTGTTGGAAGGGACCTAGGGATTCATTTCTTACCCATTTTAAGACTCTACTCAGATTGGGTGTGGTGGCTCAAGCTCACACCTGTAATCCCAGCACTTTGGGAATCTGAGGTGGGAGGATGGCTTGAGCCCAGGAGTTCAAGGCTGTAGAGAACTATGATCAAGCCTCTACACGGCAGCCTGGGCAGCAAAGCAAGACACTCTCTTTAAAAAAACAAAAAAAAACTTTACTGTTAGCTGGGTCCACTTACACACACCTATGTAGTCCCAGCTCCTTTCAAGGTGGGAGAATTGCTTGATCCTGAGAGGTCGAGGCTGCAGTAAGCCATGATCACACCACTGCACTCCAGCCTGGGAGACAGAACAAGACCCTGTTGTTGTTCTTTTTAAGACAGTGTCTCACTGTATCACCCTCAGGAGAGTGCTATGGCATCGCAGCTCACAGCAGCCTCAAACCTTGGGCTTAAGCGATTCTCTTGCCTTAGCCTCTCAAGTAGCTAGGACTGCAGGCATCTGCCACAACACCCAGCTATTTTTTTGTTGCAGTTGTCTGTTTTGTTTAGCTGGCCTGGGCCTGGTTTGAACCCACCAGCCTGGGTATTATGTGGCCAGCACCCTACCCACTGAGCTATAGGCACCATCAAGACCGTGTTTCTTTCTTTTTTTTTTTTAATAGAAACAGAGTCTCACTTTGTCACCCTCGGTAGAGTACTGTGGCATCACACACAGCTCACAGCAACCTCCAGCTCTTGGGCTTAGGCAATTCTCTTGCCTCAGCCTCCTGAGTAGCTGAGACTACAGGCTCCCACCACAGCACCTAGCTATTTTTTGTTGCAGTTTGGCTGGGGCCAGGTTTGAACCCACCACCCTTGGTGTATGGGGCCAACACCCTATTCACTGAGCTCAGACACCGCCCCAAGACCAT